CGATCTTGATCTCCGTCTGCTGGATGCACCTTCTTCTCATTGAGATGCACGACGGACGCTGTCGCACCGCGTTCCGCTCCGCTCGACGTCGTCACAAGATGGACGCACACACGGCGTTCACCGTGTAGCCAGCAAGATCGATGGATGATCGACATCGGCTTGGGCGTGGTGCGCCTCCTCCTTGCACTCCTTCTTGGGCTTCTTGCGTCCTCCGCCCGGTGCCCATAGATGCCGCAATTTCTGCGGCGCCCTTTCCTCCTCGGCGTGCCCATGGACGTCGGCTTGACGACGGGCCCCTTCTTGTCGCCACGATCACGCGATCCGCTCACCGCCGCCCCGCCATTCTTGGCTTCGTGGTTTCTTCCCGTTCCCTCCAGATGAAGAGGACTCCGGCATGAGACGGTGCCGGTACTTCGCCACCCAGTCCTCCTCCGAGAGCAGGAGGTTGCCGACCTTGTCAGTGACGGCCTCGATCCCGAGGCGATCTTCCGCCATCTTGAGCCGGCCAACCAACTCCTCTATAGTGAGGGTCTTGAGATCAAGTAGTGTCTCGATCGAGATCGCAATCTGCTGCGTGATCGTTGGGGAAGAACGCGCACATCTTCTTCACCACTCGGGCGTCGTCGATGCTCTCGCCAGATGTGCGCAGGTCGCCGCCGGTCTTGCGCCGATCGCGCGCAGGCGAACTTCGTCCACCGTCTCGGAATCCTTGAACTTTATGTTCTCGAATTCCTTCAATAGGCGTTGAGCATTGGCCTCCTTCACGCGATCGGCGCCGACCCTCATGCTCTTCACCGCCGCCCACGCCTCCTTGACGGTTTTCTTTTGCGCCGAAAGCAGTGCCACATCTCTCGCGGCACGGGACGCGCAAGATGCCGCCATGGCTGCCGGTCCCGCGATCTCTTCACACCTTCATTTGCCGGGATCAATGGTGTCCCAGATCTCAAGGGTCTCGAAGTTGCATTGAAGCAACATCGCCCACTCCGCATAATTCGAAGCGGGTGAGCGCCGGCCACATGAGCGAAGCTCGCGAACCCGCGCTCTCCGCGCCGCCGGACGTTCCGTGTCGCCCATCTCTCTGCCGCCGCCGGGCTCCTCCGAGGGATGACGAATTTCTTCCGGGTGGCTCGCGCGGTGGGCTCACCGAGCCACTATAGAACATGCAACGCTCTGGTACCAAATGTTGACGCTGTGTGCCGGAATGGCTGTCACGACGGCGGCGATCGGCAACGCCGGGCGAGCTCTCGATTCTCTCGAACACGCACACACGTAACGCAAAAAGAGAGTGTTTCGCCGCACATAATTATCGCGGCCGTTTTCGATTTGCTTTGTTCTCTTTATTGAATGGTGTACATGATCCTCAGATCAGCTATCCCCGCCACGCCCGTGCACGCTGCGACGTGCCCGCCTAAAGCGCGGGGCCGTTTTACATCCGTGCATGGCGAGAGACCTAGTCGCCGCACCGTGAACGCAGCACGGTTCTGGCGCTACACCGACTGAGCCATATCCAGCTAACTGAACGACTGAACCTGAATGTAAACATGCCAATGCACTAATCCTATTTACATCATGATCATGATCGTGCTCGGGATTGAAACTAACACAGCTGGAGGGGGAAGTGGAGGTGGAGGACGGCGAGGGTGAGAACCAGCAGGCCGCGGCGAGCTGCTCGGACCTGGTGAAGATGTTCGGCGAGGTGGCCAACGTGAAGCCGCTGCTGAGCTGGAGCTGGGACTAGACCACGACTGATCCGCTGATCTGATGCCGTCGTACAGCGTTCGTAGGTCGTAGCTAAGTGTTTTAGTTTTGCTAGTACGCTGCTAATAGGTGTTTGTTCTGTACTGGACCGACTGCTGCTAGTGTGTGTTTATTAGTTTGCTGCATAGTCCGTCCTTGCACAAGCTTCGTGTTGTGACGAGGATCAAATGACTGGCAGAGTGCCGGAGACGAAATTCTCCTGCTCCTGAATGAAATACTAGTTAAAGCATGGGCCGATGGGTGCGACGTTTTGTTGCTCGGCCCAGTCTGCTCGTGTGGTGCATGATATGATATGATATGATATGGTGCTCGGCCCACTCTACTCGTATATACATACACGATCGTGACATAAAAAGCCAACATGAAACCAAACTGCATCTCTTCGCCAGTGAACAAGCGTTGCTAAACCTGAACGCTGATCTCATATCCTCCGAGAGCGGCATGGCGGGCGGAGTGGACCAGAGAACAGGGGCGTCACTCGCTCCAGCGCTACACTGCCACAGTGCTCCCGCTCCGATCCGGAACAGGAAGCGGCCGGTGGCCGACAGCGGCGCCGTGCGCAACACAATGGGTCGGCGAGTCAGCATGACCCCGCGAAGGGGTGCGGGGCCGCTGGCAGCGAGTGACGCGACCGCACGGGAGCGGCAGGCACGCGGTCGCCGCACGCCACGGCGGTGGCCGGTGGGGTTGTGGGAGCCTGGGAGTGTGCCGGCGCGCCAAGTCGATGGAGCCGTGCATGCACGGGCCGCCGTTCTACGACTGCAGGGCGAAGCACGGCGCTGCGACTGCAGGGCGAAGCACGGTGCTGATACGGGAAAGCTGGTGCCGCATGTCCACCGCCGATGGTTCGACTCGTACTGCATCAGCTTATGGAAAGGTACGAGGTTTTTTTTGCAAATGTACTTTAAATTTAATGTTAAATAAATAGGGATGAACCTGCAGTAAATTATTTTAAAAATTTATGACCTAAAAATACGGTTTTAAAATTGATGAATCTAAATGACAGCCTCACTAAAAGTTAATGAACGTCCGGTGTATTTTACTCTTATTATAAACATATAGCGAGTAAATAATAAATCAAATAAAAATGGGCACGGAACCCCAAGCCTTTCACCTAACCGATCGAGAACCTGGTTCGATTGGACTTCGGAGGCTTGTGTGGTACCGTGAGAGGAAATAGTGGAGCAGTTTGAAAGGGTAGTAACCGATGAACCCTAGTAACAAGCGCAAGTACCGATAAAAGAAAAATAAGCTAGCAGTAGCCGTAGGAGCGTCCAGATGGAAGAAGACAAACAGATCGACGCTCAGTCACTAACCCGAAGCCGCGTGCATGCACCGATGATGGATGGATGCTTAGTGGTTAAGGAATTAAGGATATGTGTGTACTAGTAGTAGACGTACTAGTGTTAATTTAAATCCACTGCAGCCTGCAGCAGCAGACGATCACTCTGATTGATCGACGGAGCAGCAATTTTTGTTTCCTCAACGATGAACCGCGCGCAACTACGACAGTCGACACTGTTTGTTTCGCTGAAAAATAAAATAAAATACTGTTTGACTTATTTGTTGTGAGAGAATAATAATATTTCATCTAAAAAAATAAGCTAAAAAATACGGATTATAACGTAAACGAACCAGGCCTGGAGACGGGACGAGTGCTGGTCGCAGTAGTAGACGACGGAGCGACGGCCGGGTCAAGAAAGGATGCTGGTGCTTGGTGGACACTTGGCAATCTGAAACCGACTAGCCAGGGTTTCCTTGTTTGTTGCGTCGTGAGCAAACCGATGGGCGCCTCCGTAGCGCAACTGAATGCGCGTGTTGTTCTATATAGACTGTATTATTACCTTGTGACGTGTGTGGACCGTGGAAGTGGAAGACGAACTTACCAACCAGGGGCTAGCTAGCAGGAGAAGAGGAGAGTCCACTATGCTTATCCTGCAGCAGGCAGGCATATGCGACCGCCGCCTCTATGAATACTCTTCTTCTTTTTTCTGGTCAAGGCTAGCAAATACAGTACGTATATTTGTACGTCGCAACAGAGCGTATAGCTTGTTGCGTGTGGCTACCTAAACGACTTACGGCTTGAATATTTAGGCAAAGGTCACGACATATGTGCTAATACATCTTATGATGAGACTCATTACCTACCATGGCTAGACGCACGTTTTAGAAATGTAGCCTCGTGTTTGGATTTTGATTGTGCCAACTTTAAATTACAAACATGATCTCGTGTCGAATTCGGATTTAAAGAGCCAAGGAAGAATGATGTACGGTGGGATCATGTCGTTGTATGAATGTCTATTCTTCTTAATTGAGTGGCAGAGGTCATGTCTTTTTGTTAAAAAAAATATACGATGGAATGGACTGACTGATGAAAGAGTGAGGAAATATATTTTCTTATTTAAATATTAGAGATATACATACTATAGATATAGAGACATAGATATAGTATCTATGCTAGTATAATATTTTTTATGGATTTCAATTTTCAAAACAAGGCGCCTCTTTGAATCTGAACAGAAAAAAATGGAGGACCATCCGCGCCATAACACCGTGCGAACATACCGCTGACGGATGGACCATGAGATATTAGATTTACCATGCATATGTTTAAGATGATACCGTGGTCCACGAATCAACTGCACAGTCCACACGACGTTCTGAGATTTAAAAGCTGAGGAAGAATGATGTACGGTGGGATCATGTCGTTGTATAAATTTCTTCTTTTTTGAAAGGAGTCGTTGTCTAAATTTCTATTCTTCTTAATTAAGTGGCAGAGGCCCTATCTATTCATTCAAAAATATACGGTGGGATAGAACAACGGACGAAAGAGTGATGAAATATATTTTATTATTTTAATATTAGGGATATAAATACTATAGATATAGAAATATCGATATAGATATCTATACTAGTGGAATATTTTTTTTCAGTATAATATTTTTTATAGATTTCAAGACAAGGCGGCTCTCTGAATCTGAACGCGCTGCTAGTCACGCGCGCGGCGTGTGCGTCCGTTGCTCCTTGGACTCAACGCGCCTAAGCAATTTTAGCGACGGCGGCTCCAGCAGGTTACCACTAGCAACCGTGACGCGGTTTGCAGCTCGGCGCCATGGCTATAAAAGCGCCTCCGCCTCCGCCTCTGACTCCATCCGCCATCCTTGCCTCCTGCTCGGCCGGCTTCCCAGTTTCCCACCCCACCTGCGTTGCACCGATCGCCGATCCAGCTCCTCCGACCGGCCATGAGCTACCAGGCTCCTCCTCCCGGCACCGCCGGTACGTACTTGTGACACGAGGTTTGTTCATAAGATGTAATCTTTATTGTTGCAGCTCTGATCGGTTTGCTTCGGTTGTGTTTCCTCTGCAGCCTACCCGCCGCCGGGCACGGCCTACCCTCCGCCGGGCCAGCAGGCGTACCCGCCACCGGGCGAGGGCTACCCGCCGCCGGCCTACGGCGCGCCGCCACCCATGGCCGCCGGCGGGTACCCTCCCCCGCCGCCGCCGCAGCAGCAGGATTCTAAGGGCGGCAACAACGGCTGCTTGAAAGGATGGTAAGGATCTGTCTATCGACCTGCCCGCTGCCACTTCAGCGTTTTCACTCGTCACTTCTAAATACTTGACTAATAACGTCTCTGATTCTGATCTACCCTTCTTCTCTGTTTGTGCCTCCGATCTGCAGCTTGGCCGCGCTCTGCTGCTGCTGCATGCTCGACATGTGCTTCTGAGACTGAGTTGCCGTCAGGGATGGGGATGGCGGCGTGGCGCCGCGTCCAGATCCATCCTGCAGTCAGGCAAATGCATGGAGCTGTTTTTCTGAATCATGATTATGATACATCTTTGTTTCCATTTCCATCCTGTATATGTTTTCCCGTGCTATGAATCTATGATCATGCATGGACTTCACTAGTTAAGCCAGCAGGGATTTTCTGGTTCATGTGAGTGTGTTCTTGAGCTATGAAAACATTTTCCGATCAGATTTGTATTTGTACTCAGTTTGTTGCTTTATTATTGCCGTACTCTTCAATCCTCATCGTCTCCTTTGCTGACTCTGCATGGCCTGGTTGTGTGTGTGTGGTTGGTGGATGGACGTTGATTTCTCAGCGTCCAGTTGGGTACAACAAGTGTAATCGTACCAGACTGTCATCAAGTCCAATGCAAAGAAAGTCATCAAGTCCAAAGCAAAGAAAGACCAGATTAGCCTGACAGATAACAGGCGACTAAACCTATTGGACAAAGCTGGCATTTTCTGCATATTGTTTTGCAACACAATTGACCCTTACGGCTGAAGAAATGACAGGTGCCGAATATGCTGCACGCCCAAACAAAATGCATAGGCATATCCAGCAGAGCCAATTACCAAAATAAATAAATAAATAATCTTTTTTATTTAGTAGCTCGTTCATAGAACATATATATTTGTTGTACCAGCTAAAAAGTGTAAAACAATACGTACAATTTTCAACATATTTAATAAGCAAATTAATATTCTTGGCGAGAGGAGTAGTAGTCAAACACGACCTTCCTCTCTCCCCTTTGTATTCATAACCAGCACCCAGGCCATTGAACACTACGTCCACTGTTCTATCCTCTTTCCCCTTCGTATTCATGACCAGCACCCAGGCAATTGAACACTACGTCCACTGTTTGACTGAATTTGCAAGTCACCTAACACACCACACAAAGTAGCCAACAACTTGCTATATAAGCAGGCAAGACAAGCTAATCTCTCAAAACTCTCCAATGGGGACGACAGCTCTGCCCCACATGTAATGTGCCTTCAAAGTAATGAAATATTTTACCATTTTTTATTTAAAAAGAAAAAAAATAGGACCTGTGTTTTTCTGTTCTGAACATTTTTACAAGCAGCGTGAACATTTATAGTTCTAAACACAGATTTCCTAGAGAGGTCACAGCCATATGTACATCCAATTTTACAGTGCGTGCCCATAGATTTAGCTGCTACATAGACAACCAACGTGGTTCCTCCGGCTTAGCCACCATGGCTGACACCAATAGCCCTAACTTCCACATGCTGCCGCCCTTCTTTCTCCGGGTGAACGACCACGGTGGCCTGCGCTTCTTCCAGTGCGCCCTCCTTGCCTTCCCGACTTGTGGTCAGTGTGCTGACCATAGGAGGAAGCTCACCTGGCCTCATGGTCTTGCCGTCGCTCTGGGAGATGATCTCCCAGTCCTCCGTGACTGACGTGACGTCCCCATGTTTCTCACAATGCTTCTTGATGTCGTAGAGTGTTGGCAGTATAACGTAGTCATTCAGTGGGTCATAGAACGGGTCAGGTTCTCCGGCGTGCAGCCAGTGCTGGACGATCCGGAACACATGGCGACTGCAGACGATTCCCCGGTGGTCAGCAGCAACCCCAACTCTTGCCACGGCATCAAATCCGTCCGCCTGTAAAAGGGAAAAATAAACATTTCCCTCAATTTTCTCGACAGAGCTTAGCTTCAAACTCCCAAATGACAAAGCAAAACACCAATAATATTCAGACCTTTGCTGATTCTGTGGGAACAGATCCGTCACCATCAACATAGACATATTTTCCCTGAAAAAAAGGGGAGAAAAAACAGGGCTCGGATCACCAGGCATTATAAACTGGGGATTCATTGTTAAGTGCACCAGGAATCGCAAAAAACGAAATCATGAAACACAAAAATAACCAAAAGAACTAACCTGAGCATACAAGAGGTGACTAAGATTTGAAACCGGATGCTTTTCACTGCCATAGCTGCCAAAGACGAGCATACATTAGTAACTTATAATGCGAATATGTGAACATCCTGTCTAAGCAGCCATCTATACTGATGGTGTTCATCATATTCATGCTTTAGTGTGTGTATATAGTCCTTGACGACATAAATCCCTATCTGCAAGTTAGGGTTTTACCACATTTTCAATTCCCGGGTATAAATGAAAACACATGTTTATCATTCACAGTGATAATACAAGTGTCGTGACATTATCAGCATGCTATAATCTGAGACATTCGTGGCTCGAGTTTATTGGGCCATTTATGAACAGCAATAATTCAACCTAATATCAATGGAAAACTAGAAATAAAATCAGAACTATCCAGGTGAGAATGTACCAGACAGTATGTGGAGTATCATAATCAATCCCATAAATGTTGTAGAATTTCACTGATTCCGGAAGCTTTGTACTGCTTAAAAGATCATAAGTTTCCTTTGCCCAATTCAATATATCCAAATTAAGGGGCACCGGAATATGCATGCCATCAGCAATGATCTGCCATTGCAGTTTAATTGTCAGAAAGAATGAGCATTAGGGTAAGCTGAGTTACCCAATAATTTGAAATGCGAATGACACACCTCATTACTGGAAAGAGCCTTTTCAATCATCTTAATCGCTTCCTCAGGCTCATACGACTCTAACAGGGCACTTTTCTTGCCATCGTTATCCAAATTCTCTCTCCAAATCTGTAGCAGTGGGGTGTCTTTCCACTTGAAGTTAGGGTTTGCCAGCAACTCATAGATTGATGGGCACTCAAGTAGCTGAAACAGAAAACCTTTTTCAGGATTCTTTCTAAAAAGGCAAAAAATATGGTGTCCACATGAACATACACAGGGGGTGGAATCCAACCCGCCTTTGTTGCTAGTTGTTTTTGTAGTTTTAGTTGTTTTGGCTGGCTCAGTTCTGTTGTTGCTAGACCTTTCGAGGTCTTGTTGTTTCGTTGTACCCAGCCTGGGTTTCTTCTTTTTAATATATAATCAGCAGGTCTCCTGCCTGATTGGTTTCAAAAAGAATGCAAGGATATAAAAGCATACCAATTGCTGCATACACCATTTGGAAATAAAGAATCTTGATTCCCATCCTTCGACGAAAGATATTCCATTCAGCAGACTAGTAGTTATGTACCCAGGAGCACCTGCAGCAGGTTGCTTTGTCAAGTAAAATAGCAGCCTAGGAGAGATGTTTATGGTAACACGTTGAGCAAGGAAAATCACAAGATGAGAGTGTATGGAATAAATGATGTTTAAATGACAAAAGGGGCCTAATCATGTGACTTCTAGGAATCAATGGCGAAAAAATCAAGACAATACTGAATAGTACCTGCTTAGTTGAGCTCTTACAATACTCTTAATACAAACGTGAGATTTGCAGTCATTAATACTACTAGGCAGATTAGACATCCAGCAGCTATATCAAATATGCTCTATGTTGAACAACATTAATTAATATAAACGGTACTCAGGCAAGTGATACCTTGGAATGGTGCGGCAATTGCGATCCAACTCTTGACATATTTTTCAAATACCTATAGAAGGAAATAACATTATTCAGAAAAGGAGCTACGACCTTGAAGATAGCGCAGCTGTGCAGGACGTTAAACATGGCAAATCTCAACCAAAGATCCAAAATACATGAAGAAGTACTAACATCACTGTGCAGAGAGATGAAACATTTCACAAGTAATCCCCCCATTGAATGAGTAATGAGATTGATCTTTTTTCCACCAGAAGCTGCGTACACTGACTCCAGCTTTTTGGAAAATCTGTCAAGTGTCTCTGAGAGCCTGAAGAAGAGAGTGGTATCAACAAGGAGAAGATAACATAATGTGTATCGACAAAGAATAAAAAGTACCCACACTTGTGGTCATAAACTCAGAACACAGTGACTTAATAATCAAGAACAAAGTGCTTAATTTACCTGTTGCTTTGACGGAAATCGTAACCAAATCCAAAGAGAGTTTTTCCTTCTTGATATCCCCATTTAATCATTTCCACTATCATGTCATGATAGTAATACACAGTGTCATCACCAATGATCTACAAAACCAAGATAGAGTAAATCATGAGATCAGAGAGCCACTGCAGTTTGTGCACTTCATTGGTGCTTGGATCAAATTCGTAATCAAATGGCTTCAAAGTCCTAGATAAGTAACTTATAACAAAACAACAATAAAACTCACAAATAGATGAAGTAATGTCTTACCAGGTCTGGGTCTAATGTGTCAATGGCGTACAAACCATATCTGTCCTCAGGGACAGTAATTCTTGTTTTCTCGTTAACAGAAACAGTTTTACCTGCTCCATTAGAATAACTTCATATCATATGACATGGAAACAGGAAACAATCTAATAACATAAGCGAAAAAAACATGAATCGAAAAGGATTGGCCAAATTTTTGCTTATCAAAGCCAAAGACGATGCCACTTTTTTTATTATTTATGGCAATTGTCTCGTGAAGACCATGCCACTTTAGTACACACGTCTGTGTCTTTTTTTTGTTCATTATTCTAACTTCATTCATTTTTTCGAAATCGTGTAAAATAAGTAAGTCAATACATTAATAACATTAGAATTTAAAAGAAGCAAGACAATGTGTTGAGTAATAGACAACTGAAATACTGAATGTAAACCATAATTAATAGTTCGTGAACAAGAGCATTGCTTGTACCGGTGGAGGCGTCAAATTTGGACCAGAGCTTCTCTCTGAACTCATGCTCAGCAGCAAGGATGCGCACCCAAACTCTCTCCTTGTTTCCTTCCTCATCGACAGCTTCAAGGATGGAGCCAGCAATACCAGGAACAAGTAACACTGGGTCAAGGGTGGGATCGACCAAGGGCACCTGCTCCTTTGCAATCCGAAGCCAGAGCTCTATCGCCCGGATCAACTCCTCCAGTAACGTCATGGTCACGAGAAAAGGAAAAGGTTGCGCCCTCCCAAGACTTCCTTATCCAAATTCAGCACCCAAATAGCAGCTACCTGCGGCAACTGGCCCCAAAGGCGCCCTAGGCAACCCTCGAATCAAGCGAACGGCAATGGCCTGGAGAGATGGGGCGATTTCAGCAGATTGCAGTGAAATCAAGGTGAGCCGAAGATGGAATCAGCTTGAGAATTGCATCGCCAGACGAAGAGAGGAGCAATTTCAGCAAGCTGCGAGGCACCGGCGCAGTTTTGGGGAAAATTGGAACGCAAGCTGGGCCAATTGAACCAGAGATAGCAGTCCAAGTCGGCTGCCGCGGCGAGTAATTTGCGAGAAAGCTCCAGCTCACCGGATGAAAAGGACCAAAATAAAACGCCGGCAACTCTGACACATCCACCCTCCCCTATACAAGATGAACACCAACAGAGCCCCTCTAGACAAACCAGCTCCGATCGCGCGAACGAAGCCGCAGGGTTCGGAGCCAGTCGGGGGGACGCCGGCGCTGGGCTAGGGACCGCGGCCGGAATCAAGTGGTGTTTATTCGCTTCCGGAATTGGGAGGTGGTCGGGTTCCGGCGCCGTGAGGGTTTCGCTTTCCCGTCCCGTACTCTAACGCCGAACCGGAGGGAGGTACGCGAAGCAACCGAAGGCCACGAGGACTCGTCCCACCCTCGATATGATTCTCTCACTGACAGGAGAGCCCCCCATGAGGCGGGGCCCAGACGTCCGTGAAACCAACTGAACGGAGGTAAAGTGTGAACGTCCCAGAGAAGTCCTAATTTAGTACTATCATATCACATGAGGTTACGTGGCGACCCCTGCGTGTTGGACCAACATGTCAGTCAAAGTTGCTTCTGAGAGAAAATAAAATAAAACACTGCTACTACTAGTTGATCAGGCTTCCACGGAGGATCTTGTGCTTAAATCTGGACCGTTGGCTCCGTACAATCATGTTCGACGTCTGATCAAAGGTAGACAGTATTTGCAAATGACACGTGGTCTAATGGTAGGTCTGTCAAACGAGACGCTATCCATCAGGGTTTTCGTACTTTTTTCTGGATTTTTTTTCAAAAATTTTAGGATACATGCACGCGTGCGCGTGTGTTTCCCGCGCGCTAGAGGCGACGACGCCTCATAATCTCTTTGCGTTTCCCGCGCATTAGAGGCGACGACGCCTCATAATCTCTTCTTTGCGTGTGTATGGACATACACGCGTGCGCGTGCGCTTCCCGCGCACTAGAGGCGCAGACGCCTCATAATCTCTTCTTTGCGTGTATATGGACACGCACGCGTGTGTGTACGTGTGGTGTGAGTGTGGAGTGTGTGGGTTATGTGCGTCCAATTTATACTCGATAAAAAAAAGTTGACAGTACTCCCTCTTCTATCCCAAAAAAAATACAATTTTAAAAAATATTATATTAAACTACGTTAAATTTAATCAAATTTATATTACAATATTAATATTTATTATACTAAATAAGTATCATTAGACTCATCATGAAACATATTTTTATAATGGGATAATTGTCTGCCGGACATTCAAAGTGATGGTCATTTGCTGGCGGACACCCCGTTTTGAGCAGTTTGTCAGAAGACACTCTGGTTCGGTGAAATTAGGCCACAAGACACCGTGGACCAGAGTGTCTTCTGGCAAAAATGCTAAAAAGTGGATTTTCGACAACAAATGACCATCACTTTGGATGTCCAACAGACAATTTGTCGGCCTGTTCGTTTGGCTGTGGCTTGTCGTAAACAATCGTAAATTTCCAGCCGGAACAGTATTTTTCTCACACAAACCAGCCAGCAGTACTTTTTCACGAACCAGCAACGAAACGAACCAGCCAACCGAACAGGCTGTATCCCTTTTATAATATACTCATTTAGCGTTATAAATATTAATATTTTAACCTATATATTTTATCAAATTTTAGGCATTTTAACCGCAAATTGTATGTTTTTTTTTACGAAGGGAGCACTGTAGTCCCAATCCATATACCCACCGAGACACAGGGATATGTACTACCTCTGTTAAAAAAAATGTAATTCTAGGCTTAGATAAGTCAAGCTTTTTTAAGCTTCATCTGTCTTCAAATAAATTTACTATGAAAAATTATTTTATAATTAATCCAATGATATTTATTCGTTATCCTAAATGTTAGAAATTTTATATAGATTAAATTTGAAATTATTTGACTTGTCGAGAAAGTGCTTTTTGGGACAGAGAGAGTAAGTGCTATGTGTTCTACCAGTAAAAACAGCATTCTAAGGATACTTCTGAAAGTGAAAACATAAGGTTTCCAGAAGCTGATCTAGTGATCTTGAAACAACTCCGCCGATAATGGTAGGAAAGAAATAGTGATCAAGACCACTTCATCATTCGCTGCATTGTTTTATGATGATAGGGGGATTCAGCATTGTGCATATCAAGTCTCATGAGCACAGCAAAACTGCAGGGGATACCGCCTAACATCCTACAAGTTCTGAATCAAGTTGCACCAAAGTACATGATAATGCTTGTGCCAGGAAGGTGTTGGTTTAAGCTACGAATGCAGCCTGCAGGTTCAGTTTGCTGAACCGCAGGTGACCTTCTTCGGACTACTTATGACTCCTCAATGTAGAGACGCTGAATGAGAGCTTCACTTCTCCAGGTCGAGGTTGGATTCTGTGTCTGTGCGAAGCCGCTTGGGCTCCCGGTCGCCTAGGTGCAGCGACATGGCGAGCTCTTCCTCTGATGGATTGTTCAGGTTAGCAATTTGCCTTGGAGCATCCTGGTCGTCACGTACAGGGGACATGCCCACAAAGTTTGAGATGAACTGGCGCTCTTCCACGTTGATCACAGCTGCCTCCTCCCCTTCAGTCCCAGAGGCTGAAACGTCGTGCCGAGGCAGCTGCTCAATTTTGATCCCCAAAGGCTCAAAGATCTCCACCTTTTCTTCTGGGACAGGAACGGCTGCTGTCGACGACTCCCCAACAGCAGAGTTAGCTGCAGCCACCAACGCAAGCCTTTGCTGCTGCACGGCATCTTTTATTGAGGATAAATTCTGTCAGTTATCTGTCGTGGAACAAAAACAACAGAAGCGTACAGATTCGATTTCGTAATCATAATAATTTTGGACATCACAGTGGATTTTCCATATCTGAGAAGGGATGCAAAAATGAGTAAAACACAAATTACTGAAAACAAGGAAAATGCCGAACCTTTGAGTCCTTCACTGGTTATGATAAGATCAAGTTCAAGACGATCTAGAAGGCGGCCAAGATCAACTCCACTGGTCCAATTTTCAGGGCCATGGTCACACCTAAGCTTTAGCCTCCCACGGTTTGCTGTGCCACCCCATATTATCCCTATGGGACGTGGTTTCTCGCTGTCCTGGCCAGTCAGGATAGTAAGGCTTCCACTATCACCTTCTAGATCAAACGTTTGGCGGTTCTCACCAACAACAAGGAGGTCAGTGAAGAAGCTTATTCCTTTCTCATCATTGTACTCAAGGGCATAAGCCATCACAGTTCCAGTTGTGTGACCAGAACTTCTGCCGATTTTGCATACTTGCCTCCCTATGAGGCTATTAAGTGGACACTGCAGATCTATAAATTTGACATCCCCAATGTCACCAACACCCCTAACTGTGGTTGTGACTGTGGAGATATCGAAGTCATGAGCAAATGGGATGAATGCCCCGTCGGCACGTACAAATGTCTCTGCAGGTTCATTAGAACATAGCATGTATGTTTGGGAATTAGAACATTGTGCACATCATTTGGAATCATCAGCAGCAAAAAGAAAAGGTAAATGTACTGCATGGTTAGAATGACCAACTAAGGATTACTCCCTCTGGTGAAAAATAGTTCACATTTGCCTTTGCACGGTTTCGATGTTTATCTTTGACCACTAATTTCTTCTAGAATTTATTCTAAAAATTCTTCAAATCATGAGATTTTGCAAGTATTTTCAAATAAAAATCTAAACATATAAGTAACATGTTTCCAAACTAAATAAATTTGTTATTGATGTTTGTAATTTTCAAGTTTCACCAGATCTTTCCTAAACGACATGTATCTATGACCAGAGGGAGTCTTTTATTTGTTCAGAGAAAAGTCCTAACTTATATTTTATTTTCTCAAAAAAAAACTGACATTGCTTTATTTGCAAGTAGTATACTGAAGAGCAAGTTAGTGTTAATTTGATTGAAAAAGTTAATATAGAACCACAAATGTCAAACCTTGCTTGATATGAAAAGATCAAGCAATAATGTCATCTTGTGAAAATTTAAATATACAGAAAATTAACCGAGCAATTAAAGCTGCAAGTAATACTTAATCTCCTATATTAACAACATAACTTATAACTGCTCTACCTGGGTTTGTTCCAGCATAGATTCCATACCAAACATCATCCGTGATGAAAGATGTTGCCCTTTCAACAGCTCCAAGATAAACACCAGGCCCAAGGTTGGGTGGCAATGGGTGATACATCTTCTGGTTTGGGTAGTCCAAGTCAACCGCAACATGTCGGTTGGTGAGGAAACCTATCTGCTTGTTGCCAGTTCGCCGTTTTACAATGGCGCCCAAAGTCCCAAAAGTGTCCTGACTTGCAACCTGGAAGAGTGAAACAAGATATGTAAGGAGAAAGTTTTCAAAAGCACGCCTTCCTGACATTGCATCATTCTGAGAAGCCTTATCAGCTGCTTTTAAGTAATTCAAGTCTATTTTGCCAAAACCTAATGTGTCATAAAAATTGTAAATTTTCAAAGAGAAGCAATGACTAGGGTAACTTAGACAATGGAAGCAAAGTCTACATCTTCAACACCTAAAAAGCCCAACTGTTTGAAGCAAATTTGTGTTGGGCTCCAGAGAACAACATTCAGTTGCAGACTTGCAGTTTCTCAAATGATTTGTTGTGTTAGCTGCTATACTATAGCAAAGATTTTACAGGGTAAACTAGTTCTAATAGCTTATAAAAAGTTCAGAACATCCAGTTGGATGATCTGAATAATTGCAGGATTTAAAGTAGATCCTTTAGCCAGGCACCTGACATGGTAGGAATAACTGAAAAAGTAACTGTCAGTCCGTAGCATAATCTTATGCATGCCGTGCAATTATTTTTCCCTTTGTACTAGTAAATCTTGAGGAGAATCTTGACAAAATTGAACGGTCCCCTTACAAACCAATAGTACAATCCTGTAGTACATGGTTTTACCCAATACAATCATTGTGCACCGCTGCACAAGTCCACATGCATGCTAGGCTTAATCCACATGATATATATTTTGAAAACCAATCAAAGCAGAAAAGAACAAAAGTGTACCTGAGAGCCGGAGCCAATACATTCATCACTGCCACACAACTTATCAACAAGCTCAGTGAACATTTGCTCTTTTGGAGTTTGAGCTGGTGCACCATAGTACGAAAACTCAACAACATCCACATCACACCAAATACCTCCTGGACCCTGTCAATGATCCGACTAAGTGATAGCTATTAAGACCATGACAAAAAGAATTTTAAAGTACAAAACTTCACTAGCATTGTTTGGGCGCATGACTAATCCAATCATCTAAAATACATATGAATTAAAGTTTCCCTACCTCAACAATGGCAGGAAGGCATTGGGTCGGATTAAGCCACTTCTTGTGAACTTTGCGAGCAACAAAGCAAAGAATTGCGGGGATATCTGTCAGAACCCCTTTCCTGATGCGGAAGCCCACAGCCGTTCCAAGGCTGAAGCGACGCAATATCTTGCTATGGAAAGCTCTTATAGTCATCAAGTCAAGCAAGCTATTTGCTTGCTGGCCCTTGGGCAACTTAACAGACTTCGGGAGAAGTCCTTTTGAAAGGTTGGCAAAGTAGTTTGCACGCCCCTCAGCTGCACAATGCTGTAGGTTTGATGTTGGCCATAAGAAGTATGCCGCGCTGTTCTCTGTGTGTGTGCACCCAGAAACAATTGGTTGCATTGATGGAGAACAAGGGAATGACTGTTGATGGTAGCAATGCCCCTCCACATCAAGTGTCGATTCATCTGATTGTGCAAAGCCTGAAAGCTGCACCCTGTCATCTGAAGTCCTCATTTTGCTGAACAGGCTGCCGAGCTACAATATGTAGGATAAGCTGTGACCCTAAAAATGAGAAGCAGCAAGTCAGAGAACATGATCTTCAGGGCTAATAACCAAGCTGTAAGGTGTGAAATCTCAGGAAAGACTCAGAAAGCATGTAATCCTGTGAGTGTGCTTCAAAGTTATAGATTCAATGGATGGGAAAAACAAGTCGAAACACTGTTTCTGCTGATTGGTTGGGAGGAAAAACACTGTTCCGGCTGAAAAAAAACAAGCTGAAAAAGACGGATTATAACGGATTATAAGAGAAGCGAACAGGGTTTTGCCAGAACAGTGATAGCGAATATGTGAATAAACAGCTAGTTGTGGAGCAGGCTGTTATTCCTCAGGAATAGATTCTGCAAGATTGCAAGGGGAGCCACGCAAACAAAGCAACCTGAATTTAGTGTCTGAATCGTGAAAGGTTACAGAATAGGTATACGCCACCAATGAGCTGTACGAAGAATAAATAAATCCATTTGGATGGGGCGTGTGATATTCTGATATAGAAATAAAACAGACAAGAGGAATCCACAAAAGCCATGGCTCAGGTCTCCTCCGCTCTCTTGCTGTCTAAAGACAATGGTGACTTGCAATATGAAATCAGGGCCATGAAGGTTAAGAGACGGCACAAATTCCCCCCTTTAATCACAAGGATTGGGCATAAATCCACATGACAACTACTCGCAATGATAGTCTCATTTCGGGGAATAAGGTAGGGCCTACACAATTTTGGTAGCCGGTAGTGAAAATGAAGTTGGGCAGCGGCATCACGTACTTTCTTGAAAGAGAAAAGCAGGAACGAAAGGCCCAAAAAGCGCCACCAGGAATTGGTATGTAGTAGCCAAAAAATCAACCACTTGTTGTAGCTAAGTCTGGAGTGCGGTGCGGCGACGAGCAATGCTCCTCCCATGGGATTTCCCCAAACCTGAAAGAATGCTGAAGGCAAGAAATCGCAAGCCTCCAAGATTGTCTCCACAAGGAGGGGACCTCGCTTTCCATCGCATTCGGCACCCAAAGCAGATTACCAGCAACCCTCACGCTTTTCTATCTATAGTAAAAAATAGAAAGAAAACGAGCAAACAGCCTATGCTACTACGATCGAACTCAAAAGGGCAAAGGGGGCTATAAGAAAAGGCGAAAGAAGATAAACCCCGATTGGCTATTGCTCTACTCTGCCATACATACCAAGCAGCATCAAGAACCCTCCCCCACTGTTTGGGTATGAAAAGGGGGGGAAACAGAGGGGCCTCGAACAGATGAACCAACCACCGGTAGAACGAGGACGAAAGCTAAGCTGGCTCACGAATGCAGTCGTGGATCAACCAAAAAAGAGCATAACGAGAAGAAAAAAAACGGCCTGGAAAGTGGAAACCAAGGCAGGCAAGAGAAGGCGCCGCCAAGATTGGCAAGATCCCGCCTTTCCTCCATTCCCGGGCTCACGGCCGGCGGCCAAGAGATCCGATCTCGGTAGGGATTTGAGGCGGGGACGAACAGGAGGAGAAATTCCATTTCCAGGCGCCATGCTTACCTCGACGGGAGCAATGGCAGGTGGGCGAGCGGCCTCAGCAGTGCTCCCCCGGTCGCCGCTGGCTATCCATAACTGGGAAAATGGGGATGGGAACCGCCACTGTTTATGGCGACGCCCGGTGGGCAGAAGCCGCCAGCTTTGCAGCCTTGCTGCAGCGCAGCAGAGCAGCCAGCGGCCTCCTCGGTCCAGCGGCCCCTTACTGCTCGCACCTGTGAGCTTCCGCTGTGAACGCACAGGCACAGCGGGAGGACCAGACCAGGGGCTAGAGCCTAGCGAGAGGCGAGAGGGAAGAGGAGCCGGTGAAGAGGGGCGGAACCGGAGGGTGCGGGAATCTGGGGGCAAAGAGAGAGGCAGAGGGAGATGGAGGGAGGGAGCTCGGCTAGCTAGGTGATCATGGTCACTGGGTCAGAGATGAGACGAACAGCAGCTATACTGTTGCGCCCGTGCGATGTGTCGACCGCCGTGTTGGTCTGGAGGTGTGGCTGCATAGTCGTCCATGTCCCCCCGGAGAGACGGACGGCCCGGATCGCCCGCCGGGGGAGACGCCGTCACGTGGCCCTCCGGCGTCCTCTTGTCCCGGGCGGCGGGCTAGGGTTTGTGGGAGGAGACCTTTTTGTAGCGTTGGCGATAAACCGAATTTTTTAGACTGACGATGGCTTAATAATTCCAAAGTACTGAAAATCAGCTAAAGGGTGGTGATGTCATGTTTTCATCATCATGCTATATACAGGCCTACTATTTGGATACCAGAGACTATGGTCCTTTGGAATGCCAGTTTTTTTTACTATTTCCTGGGTTCCTTCTATGAAAATAACATGTTTCAAAGAGGACCTACATTTCTCCGTGAGTTTGTTTTGTGGAATTTTCAAAAAATGTGTAAGCTCATCATCCGAGGGTGCGAGAGTGATTTGTGAATTGTGATGTTCACGTCTCGAGGACTTGTTCGGTTCGTCACCCATGCAATGTTGTCTGGCGAGAGAGCGTTCTTAGGCGTTTGTTTTTTTTGTCGCCTAAGGCCCTGTTTAGATCTCACCCAAAATCTAAAAATTTTTAAGATTTTTCGTCACATCAAATCTTGCGGCACATGTATGGAGCATTAAATGTAGGTAAAAAGAATAACTAATTGCACAGTTTGCCCGTAATTGACGAGACGAATCTTTTAAGCTTAAATAGTCTATAATTAGATAATTTTTGTCAAATACAAACGAAAGTGCTACAGTAGCCAAAAGACAAAAAAAATTCCGAATCTAATCGGGCCTAAGCTAACATTGTGGCATGGCCGATGATCTATCTCCAAACGAGCCCTGAGTACGTAAACCATTGAATAGCACTGTCATGTTGCATACGTATACGGAGAGGAGTTGGAGTAGCACCTTGGAACTCTAAATAATTAAAATCAAGGACGCCTAGAGTAATATGGATTAAGGCCCGTTCGCTTAGAGTAATCTGGAGAAATTTATGAGAGAAAATCAGTCGTAAATAGTAGATTTCAACCATGAACAGTAGAATTATGGCACCAACTGAACGCACCCTAAGTTTGTGAATTTTGTCGACAATTAAGACCCCAAGATGATTTGAGATCTTTGAGCATGCTCGATGGCGAGTGTTGTAGCGGGACATTTAGCTTTTATGGCAGAACCGCTCGAAATAATACGTTTTTTGAGGCGCTCGTCTTCCATTAGACACTAAGCGCTTCGAAAGTGAGCTACATCGAACGATTCCGTCGAGCACACCCCAAGGGAGAACTCGAAACAATCCACGTTTTATATCTAGATTCTATTAATAAGTACGAGCTTACAATACTTAGTCCATTTCATAAAATAAGAGTTCTTGAAAATAATTTATTACGATACCAGAGTTCAGAGTGCGTTAATTAAACAACGGAATAAAAATAAACATCTAGCGGAAACGATACAAGGATCCGTCTGTGTTCAGCATAAGAATCCTCCACACAAGTGCTACTCCTCAAGCTGCACCTGCAACAGGAGTAAAATAAACCCTGAGTACACAATGTACTCGCAAGAGTTACCCGACTAGTGGGAATAGTTTCCCGACTTTCAAGTATATGATAGGCAATATGGATTTGTTGTTTTTTTTGTTTACGGAAAGCATTACTAATAGTCCATCCTTACAGTCAAATTTTATTAGCAGTCATGATTACTTCATTAGCTAACCATTCTAGGTAAGCACCTATTCTACTTTCGAGCAAGGGTTAAGCAATCAGAATTATTTTACCATCTTTCATCTTTCAGTTCTTACTACGATGCTAGATCACAATCAAGTCGTACCGTCTCACAGAAATGACGATTCACGAACCAATATATCCTAGCTGGGTACCCCGAAATACACGCCCCGTTTGTACCCCAGGCACAAATAATACCAACCCATTCCACTCCTATCACGGGGTCCAGGTTCCCATCCAAACTTATACTTCAAGCCCTCACACTTGAGACCCGGTCTCAGTATGATGCTTAGACCTCCACCTTTCTCCGTCTCCAATCAGTCGGTCTAGAAAGAGCCAGAACCCACGACAAGAGCATAATGAGCCTTTCCGCTCCCATAAGCAAGTATGTACTCATGATAATAAGTCTGTGACCTGACTACCATCCACAACAACGGACGGTGCTTAATCGACACGAACAGAGAAAACAGTGTAACCAAGCTAAGTCCCGTTGGCCGCGGGACACAACCTATTACACCCACCAATACCAATGCCATATTCCTGTCCTGTCTCTATTTTTCCTTTCATCATTTTATTATGAGAGTAATAATAATCCCCTATTATGAGCAACGGCAGGTTACTCACGCTACCAATGACCTAAGCGTAGCATCTACTCGAATCTATACTAGTAAGACACTTAGTGCAGGTGTATCTATGCATATGGTTTCTATAAAATTCCTGTAATGTAAATGCACAACACATCTATATACGGTGAATTATAAAATAGAGGTTATACACTGGGGCTTGCCTTGAGCAGGCGTGGGGTTAGCTGAGTTAGTCAGTGGCTGCTTCGGGACCTCCTCCTGCACGAGAATCTCCTCATACTCCTCGACAATCTCCTCAAACTCATGATCGTCGATGCTCACAATCTCTACATGCATGCGATGATGATGCAACACTTAACATTTAGGCAACAACAACTCTTAAAATAAAAATATGCATACTTAGCTACTAAGATAGCTCTAATGACTAAGATACTAAGCTAACTATCATTTTCATCAAGCAAAGTATTGGATTCAACTAACAAACACTCAGTTTTGCAATTTAAGGATATATCTTTATTTCTACTAATGATTTAATATATAATGAAACAAAGAGCATTTAACTACCCTAATGCTTAGTCTATTCTAAGGCAACAAAAATTACAGTGAGTACATAATAATACAATGAAGCTACTATAAAATTTTCAGGACTAACACTATCACCAATTTACCATAAAAATTCCTACAATAATTAACTTAATATTATTAAGCATCCTCAAATGATTTAATAGCCCCTAATGTCAACACGTATAAACATGAACTAAATACACCAACCGATAGAGCATAATTGTAGGAACCTAACAAAATTTGTTTCATAAATTTTGGACACCTACATGATTTTATATGATTTATCAAAGACCAGCTCAAAAATTTAATTAGAAAACATTTGCTAATTCCTTATGAAAAATAAAACTAAATCTCCCGTGTGGCCCACACATGCGGCCCGCGTGACACAGCACGCGTGCAGCGGCCCTCTAGCGTGGCCCACGCAATGCCAGCCCCTTCAAGAGGCGGCCCGCGGCGGGGGAGTCACGCGCACGTTGGCGATTTTGCAAAAGAGACCTCGAACTCCTCTCAATTTACAACAAAGTACTAACACTATTTTCTCCTCTCTCAGACCTTCAAACTTAACCACTGACTTTTCTCTAATTCACCCGCGCGCACCCCCAGCGACTCAGCGCACGGCGGTGCGGCGGGCGATGACACGGCGCGATCGTGCCGACCACCAGAGGCTCGCGTTGGCCCGTCGGTCGGACTAACCTTCAACTACGGTCCAACCGACCAAACAGCAACGCGGGGCGGCGGGATGCGCTAGAGCGAGCTACAACGACGTGTGGCCATCCGCAATAGCGGCGCAGCTGCCCCGGTGATCCAGAGCACCTAAAAACCTAACTGTCTAGCGAGGGAGCATCAGTAGACTACCATGGACCTAGCCGAGGTGACGATTGGGGTGGAGGATGGCGGAGGAGGTGTGGGCATGTGCGGTCGAGCTGTGCAACAGCGTACCGCGGTGGTGTGGTCGCGTCAGCGACGATGGTGAAAGATCCTTGTTTGGTTTTGGTAATTGAGTGACAACCTTAGGTGGACTAATGTGTTTAAGTGTGATACACAGGTGATTAGTCCACAGGTACATGTGTGTGAGGAACATATGTCATGACGGTGATGATGGCTCAAAGATGTTGCAAAGCTCACACATGTGATGATGAAGGAGCTTATTGCACACAAGACATGACATAGAGTCATGTGATCAAGGTGGAGAAGATCAAGACATGACTTGGCTTGATGGACCGATTGTAAGCGTGAAGGGCAAGTCAGAGGCTTTGGAGTGATGGACCACGTGGTGGGGAAGCTTGAGCAAGACGACACCGATGGATGAAGGCAACGGTGAAAAGCAAGTGAAGTCAAGATCGATGAACCAATATGTCATGTGATGATATGAAGTGGATCATATCATTTGATGATTGGTTGGTGCATGTGTTGCAATCAACAATGGAGGAGATGGAATAGAATATGCAAGGCAAAGGTATAACCTAGGGCATTTTCATTTCATTGGTCATAGGTGAGTAGAGAAGTTTATGACCGAGTTTAGGATAGATGGTCGTACTATCAAGAGGGGCAAACTTGTTTGCATACCGGTCATCTACTGCCACTCGAGTGATCTAACTTTGCATCGTCGCTAGGATCGAGTGGCGTGGCAAGTTGAGTGGCTAATCCTTTGAAAATGTTGTGAAAAGCTAACACACATACACATGGGGGTGTACACTTGGTGGTGTTGGCACATTTGCAAAGGAGAATAAGTTGGAGTTGATGAGGATCAACTCGGTGAAGAAAATGAGTTGAACACGCTGGTCACGAAGTGACCGGTCGCGTCCAACATGAGAACCAGACACGTTCGGTATCTCCCCGACGTGACCGGACGCGGCAGAGTTGATGAGGTGACCGGACTCTGGGTCATAGCAGTGACCGGACGCCGAGCAATCACTGTTTAGCGTCCGATCGAGGTGACATGGAGCGTGGGTGTTGGTCCTGAGAGGACCAGACGTAGGGGTGTGTTCGGTCGGCCACACCGGACGTGTCCGGTCGCAGTTGAGCGGCTTTGGGAGCTCTCTGGACTCGACCGGACACATC